TTTAGATTAAATTAATTAAATCAATTAACTCATATAAATTAAATAAGTCAATTAATTTATATAAACCCAATAATTCATATAAATCAAGCAATTCATATAAATTCAATAAATCAAATAATTCATTTAAATCAAATAAATCGAATAAATCACATAAATTAATTAATTCAAATAAATCACATAATTCAATTAAATCCATTAAATCAAATAGGCACAAAATTACACAATTAATCAATTAATTTAATAAATAAATAATTACTAAAATTGGGGTTTTACAGAAAGCAAGTTGCATTGTCAAATCAGTTTGTCAGCTAAAGTCTTTGTTCACAAGGCTTCAGAAAAGTTGGCATTCTTTACAGATATCTAATCTCAACGGCTCTATAGTACAGGATCTCTCTGAAGACTCAGTTGTTTAACACGTTACACAATGGATAAAGATCTTTTGGTGTATCAATCTTCAAAATCACATGTACTATGGCGAAAGCAAAGACACTAGATCAAGTTATGTCTCCAATGGCTAGTCTTCTGAAAATGCTATATAAGTTACTGAAGGTTCAAACTGAATCTTTAACAAGGATCAACCTGATGGAGGAGTAACAAGATCGGCAATTATCAACACAATCGAGTATGTAGAGTTTCTATTGTAAGTTGTAATTGTAAAAGCCTTAAGATTTCTTAAACATTGAATATCTTAGAAATCTTAAGAGCTTTAGGTCTTTGTTATGGTAATTTCCCTGTACCTCTAATATTTGTATCAAGTATACCTTGTTCTCAATTCTGCTGAACATGTTGTTTAGTATTTCAGATCAAAGTCTCTTGATAAGTGCTTGAGCATAATATTCTCTAGTTGAAAATCTTATACCAGGTAAGTCTTTTACTCTATGCTTGAGCATTGAAAGTCTTGATCTATTTTGATTAAGCAAGTGAAGTCTTTGGTTCGTGGAACCTGAGTAAGGAAGTATCAGATTAAGGGTATGAGTAGAATTCTTGAACCTGAGGGATTTAAGCAGGAAGTCTTAGGTTCGTGGAACCTGAGCAGAGAAGTCTTAGACAGTGGGTCTTAGCAAGAATTAGCAAGAAGTCTTGGGCTTGAGCGGGAAGTCTCGGGTCTGTGTGCGTGTGTGTGTGTGTGTCTGTGTGTGTGTATATATATATGTGTGTGTGTGTGTGTGTGTGTATGTGTGTGTGTGTGTGTGTGTGTTTGTATATATATATGTGTATATACACACACACACACACACACACACACACGCATACACACACACACACACACACACACACACACACACACACACACACACAGATATATATATATATATATATATATATATATATATATATATATATATATATATATATATATATATATATATATATATATATATATATATATATATATATATATATATATATATATATATATATATATATATATATATATATATATATATATATATATATATATATATATATATATATATATATATATATATATATATATATATATATATATATATATATATATATATATATATATATATATATATATATATATATATATATATATATATATATATATATATATATATATATATATATATATGTTAGTTCCATGGTTCTATGATTGGCTAAATTTTGGTAAACCATGATTCTGCACTAATGTCGTGCTGAATGTTATGACATCCATCTGCTGTCATGACAGAACTACTGTCATGTGTGTTTAATTAGGATGTCACTACTAATGTCATGACATCAATGTCTGATATAGCAGGAGTTGTGGTAACAGAACTGCTGTCATATGTTTTAATCAGGATGTCATTACCAATGTCATGACATTACTGTCTGGTACAGCAGGAGCTGATGACAGAACTGTTGTCATGTGGTTTAATCAAGATGTCATTACCAATATCATGACATCACTGTCTGGTACAGCAGGAGCTGTTATTTTATATCACTTGACAGAAGTGCTTTGGATATATCTCATTAGTATGTGTAGGCCAAAGAGATTTAGTAGGAACAAAGTGCAGATTTAATTGGTGTTCATAAAAAGGATCTTTAAGACTTTTTAGGAAACTATAATATGCTTGTTTCTACTGTTGTGAAGAAGATTCTGCAGGAGTGTTCAGCAATGTGAGTTTGGTCAGCTAAGAACAAAGTGTGTTGGATGTCATGCTGGATGTTATGACTTCAAGTGTATGACATCAGGGCGCGTGTTTTAATTTTCTGGTATTTTAATCAGGATGTCATTACCAATGTCATGACATTACTGTCTGGTACAGCAGGAGCTGATGACAGAACTGTTGTCATGTGGTTTAATCAGGATTTCATTACCAATGTCATGACATCGCTGTCTGGTACAGCAGGAGCTGCTGTTTTATATCATTTGACATAAGTGCTTTGGATATACCTTATTAGTATGTGCAAGCCAAAGATTTTTGGTAGGAACAAAGTGCAGATTTAATTGGTGTTCATAAAAAGGATCTTTGAGACTTTTTAGGAAACTATAATATGCTTGTTTCTACTGTTATGAAGAAGATTCTGCAGGGTGAGTTTGGTCAGCTAAGAACAAAGTGTGTTGGATGTCATGCTGGATGTTATGACTTCAAGTGTATGACATCAGGGCGCGTGTTTTAGTTTTTTGGTATTTTACCTGATATATCTCATGCTAGAATTCAGGAAACCTGTTATGGCTCCTTAGTTATCTCAGGCGAGATTCTAGTTAGGGCTGGACATAACATGAAGCAGATGTGACCTAATTTGGCAACACCTTGAATTATGGAAAGTGGTTTAACTTGGTTAAACCTAATGTTTGTTACTTTTGACCAGTCCAAGCCCAGTCTGCATTGATATTTAAGGAGGCGCAGAAGCAAAGGAAATCAGGCACTTACATCAAGAACAACTAGAGTGTAAAATTAAGGTTTAGGGTTTGAGAGTCCCTTGTATGTGTGACTTTGTAACTCATCCTTTGTATCTCTTGATACATTGTTATAGACATATTTGTGAGTGAAGAACTCTATTCTTCACGTGTGTTTAGGATCCTTAGGATTCCTTATGTGCCAAGAAATTGTCTGCTGTATAATTGCACTGGTTTAGTGTGAAAGAATTGTTGTGTTCATTGTGTCACTCAAAGCTTTTAAGCAAGAGTGTATTGTCCTTGATTGAAGATGTTAAGAAAAATCAAGTATTGTGAGTTTGAAGAGTATCTTCTAAAGTCTGTTTTTGTATTGAATTGTTTAATACTGTGGTGATTGAGGGGGAGTGAGCAGGGTCTCTTGTCTAGTGGATTCTAGGAAGAAATTGCATTGGGTAGAGATTAAGTGAGGAGTTGTAAACGGGGGAGTTTAGCTCTGAATTGATTCTGCTAAAAGTGGATTTCCTTCTTGGCTTGGTAGCCCCCAGATGTAGGCGAGGTTGCACCGAACTGGATAACCAATTCATTGTGTTATTTATCTTTCTGCATTTACAATTCTGCACAATTTAAATGGTTAGATAAATAGTATGTCTACTAATGTCACAAAAGACGCCATGACATTGGTACAATTTAAAGTAATTTAAATTGGTCATGGTCTGTCCTCGTCCTTGTTGAGCAGAGATCAATGTTCTTGGGACATATGAGATCTGCATACCAGAATTTCAATTGGTATCAGAGCAGGCATCCTGTCTGTTCTGGATGAGATCTTGAGAGATACTTTCTGGTGTTTTGAACAAGGAGAAGTGGTAGCTGAGTTGCTGATCTTTCTAAACATTTGAGTTGCTGCTTATGGAGTTTAGGAGGAGGGTGCAAAGGGTTATGTGTATCTGCTGCTGTGCCCTCGGATATAGGAGCTTCTATGATCTGCTGAATGGTTTGCCAAAGGAGGAGTGGCTACTTTTGTATGATGACCTATAAGATGTTGTGACATTTTATTTAGGGCATGTTGAAGATGTTCTTTTGGTGGTTCCGCTGCATATGTTTCTAATGAAAGAACTCTGGTAGCCCTAGGAGAAGATTGGCCTATATACAGTTTGATGCATGGTTGTGGCAGTTGTGTAGATGGTTGGCAGATGGTGTTTGTAGCTATGTCCCTGGGTTGTTCTGCTGTGTACTACAAGTTGCTGAAGGCTGTGTTAGAAAGGATAGTGGGAGGTGATTTATTTCCCCCCACGCGAAAATGTATAGTTTTAATTTTTTGTTTTTAATTTTTCTTTTGCGACGTGGAAATCACTTCACAACTACTTTTAAAAAAAACTCTTATAAAACTTGAATCTCATTTGTTTAATAATATAATTATTTAGTGATGTGATATTTACGTCGCAACCACCATTATTTACCATATAAATATCACGTCATTAAATCACGAGACAAATAGCAATGTTTCTTGTAGCGACAACACTACTTAGGTTAGCTATATATATCAATATAACAAAACGTCCTCTACTTATGCATTTATTTCATTTCTGATAAAAAAATGTGTTTCAATATTTGAGAAGGATTATACTATTTGCATCAATAACTTTTTAGATTTGAGAAGTTTATTTTACCTAATCTCCGTTCAAAGTTAACTTTTTTTTTTGTTGTTGTTGTCTAAAACCTTAATGAATTTTATCTAAAATTGATTAATTATTGACTTAAAATACGTTTGGAAATAATTCTTTTAGCAAGGTCTTGTCCATCCATTGAATAATCAACTCCTACAGATTTTGCTTAAGTACTCTTTGTTTCTTAAAAACCAAAAGGAAATCAAGTAGTTTGTAGAGATCTTAGTCACAAGTGATTCCTACTAGAAGAACAAGTTAATCTCTTACATCAAAGCTCCAATGTTCATTAAATACTCACTAAAAGATTCAAGAAAACATACATAGAATCATTAGATTGCATTGCTAGCAAAGTAAAAACATATATTATTTGAAATCAAAGTGTCCTACAAATCCAAACTTAGTTGGAAATAAAGACATATGAAGCAATTTTATTTAAGTAGAGAGATCATGCATGCATGATGCATGGATGGTTTTTGTTGGGCATATTAAGTGGAAACTGCTGACGGCATCTTCAACAAGTTCGAGAATTCAGAGCTAAGTGCATTCTTGAACGAGGCTTCTGCATGAGGGTTAGAGTCAAAACACCATCCATATTCAATCTCAGGGTTTAGAAAACGAGCGCAAAAACTCCCACTTCCCTTTTTTGTGCAGTCGGCATGAGACTCACATAAGTTAGGATGTTTCTCTACCATCATGGTGACATCTTCAGATGATTCTTTTTTGCAGGCACCATACTTCAATGAAATAGGGGTACATTTACAACCATCACCACATCCTTGTGGCTTCCATAGAAAACAAGAAATTGGACAAACTGCTTCTACATCCTTCATCGAGAACATTAATACTGCATGATGCCAAAGTTAATTAGAAAAATATATACAAACAACAGACAAATCATGTTTACGCATATAGTAAAAAGTAAAGATATATAGAAGACATACAAAATGTGGCAAGCAAGAAGAGAGGCAAAAGAGAGAGCTTAACATAAGCCATAATGCTTGAATGAATAGAAAAACCAGCTACTTCCAATAGCTATATTGAGCTAGCTTTGTTGGTTTTGTGTTGCATTAGTTGATTATGGCATGCAGTATTTTATAGACAAAAAAAAAGATTGTGTATATCTTATGTGTCGTGCCACATTTTCCACCACATATTCACTTGACAGTGTAGATAATCATTGAAGCAAGAAACACGAGCTCATTACAATATCTCTGTCAATGAGCTGGCCTTATCTTTTGGATCCATCATGCATAAATGGACTGATTTGGAGTGTTTGTAATATCAGTAGTTAAAATTGAATTCACTCTATATATTAAGCTGTGTTTAATTGAGAGAAGAAGTTGAAAAGAGAGAAAAATAGAAATAGAAGAGGAATAAAATAGATTTCGTGTATTAATTTGTATATAAAAGAAAGAAGAGAGAAATTAAAAAAAAAAAAGAACGGACTAATTTTATGAGAAAGACATAAATGTCATCGGTTGCATTAAATTAATTTATTGAATTTTTTTGTTTAATATTTTTTTTTTCTAATTGAGTTATTAATTTTTAAAAGATAATTTATATTTAAAAAACTATTTGGGTTTAGTTTTAATGTGAATTATGTGAAGGCAAGCTCGTGATTAGAATTATGTTTTGATAAAGACATTGATTTAAGAAGGAAAGCATCTCAAGATTAAAGAATCCTTCAAGTTAAGAATTCAACATTACAAGTAATGGAAATCAAAGGGATTTGATCTTAAGATAAGATATAATATGAAATTCATATGTTTTTAAAACGTTACGTTTTCACGTGGCAACATAAAAAAATAAAATTAAAAAATCAAAACATTTCGTTTTCAAGTGGGAGAAAATTATAATATTAGATTTATATATTATAAAAATTAATATATAAAAAATACATAATGATAAATGTTACGCTTTTTTAGTTGTTCTTAATTTTTCCCAAATTTTATTAGGTTAAAAATTATAATATTAGATTTATTTATTATAAAAAATATTAATATATTATTTAATATGAAAATATATTTTATTTTAATAATGTATTATTTTAAAAAAATATATATAGATTTATCTAAAACATATTTTATGTAATATTTTATATTAAAAATATATTATATTATATTTTATTAAAAACAAATATATTATATCTTTATTAAAATTAGAATATAAAATAATTTTGTTAGATTTAATAAAACAGAATTTATAATCAAAACAAAAATATAATATGTGAATTAAAAACTGATATTTTAAAAAAAAATAGATTTATTTTTATAAACAAATTTATTTTTAAAAACAGAATTTAAAACAAACAAAATTTATAAAATAATTTTGCAAAAACAGAAATTTTAAAATAAATAGAAAAAATATTAATTCGAAAATAATTAATATTAAGTTTTTTTTATAAACAAATTTATTTTTAAAAAACAGAATTTAAAACTGATATTTTTAAAAATATATTTATTTTAAAAAAACAGAATTTAAAACAAACAAAATTTTTTAAACTAATTTTTAAAAAAACAGAAATTTTAAAACAAATAGAAAAAATATGTAATAACTAGATATCATAATATGTTATAATTAGAAATTTTAAAATTATAATTATAATATTTTAAAACAAATAGAAAAATATGTTATAACAGAAATTTTAAAACAAATAGGTTTAAATTTATAACTAGATTTTATATACAAAATATGTTATGTAGATTTATTAGAAATAGAAAAAATTATTTTTTATTTTTATTAAAAAAAATGGTAATACTTTTATTTTTATTTTTATAGTAAGAAAATATATATTAAGTAAAATTTTTATTAATTTAAGTAAGTATAAATGTTAAGTATAGTTATAAAATATAGTATATATAGTTATGAAATGTATAATGTGATTAAATATATATAGTATGAAATATATTTATGTTTAAAACAATTTTTAAAAATTATAATATTTCGCATATATTAAAATTATATTTTTAGTTAAAATGATAATGATAGTATAAATGTGTAGTATGAAATGTTTTCGTTACTATGATAGTTGGTTATACGATATAACGTTAACAGAAAGACGTGGACTTACACCAAAATTTAAGGAAGGAGTTAAATGGTTTATCACGTGGGCATTTGCTCAATAATGTTGTCGAAGCGAAGGAGGAGTAAGATGTCCTTATCTTAAATGTGAATGTAGACCTATAATTAGTGACCTAGGAGAAGTAAAACGTCATTTGAAGATAAGGGGTTTCATTAAAAATTATTGGATTTGGACATATAATGGAGAACAACTTTCGATTAACGTACCAGAGACTATTAATACGCATATATCAAGCAATCGATCACATTTGGAATTAAAGGAACAATTTAATCTGATCGATGATATGGTCGGCAATGCCTTTTGGGTAAACGTGACATATGATGAACCTCAAGATTTTGATGGGAAAGAGTTGTTGAATGAGGAAGCGCAAAGATTTTACCAATTGTTGAAAGAAATGAATACGCCATTGTTTGAGGGGTCAGCAGACTCAAAATCATCAATGTGCGTGAGATTATTGGCTGCCAAGTCAAATTGGAATGTTCCTGATCAGTGTTTGGTATTCTTTGCAAAGATGATGTTGGATGCAATTCCTACGAAAGACAACATGCCTACAAGTTATTAAGATGCAAAGAGATTGGTGTCAAAGTTAGGTTTAGAAGTACGAAAGATTGATTGTTGCATAAATGGTTGCATGTTGTTTTATGACAATGAGTTTGGTACTAATGATGGAGCGTTGGAGGAATATAAGTTCTGTAAGAGTCTGAGATATCAAGTTCGTAGTAAAGTCATTAGCCGTAAACAAAATCTTGTAGCAGTGAAGTCCATATTTTATTTGCCGATAATACTAAAGTTAAAAAGATCGTTTGCTTCAATGCACAGTGCAAGTCAAATGACATGGCATCATACAAACAAAAAAAAGTTCTGGCACTATGCGACATCCATCTGATGGTGAGGCATGTAAGCATTTTGATTGGGTACATTCTGATTTTGCTGTAGGACCTAGAAATGTCAGACTCTGATTATGTTTTGATGGTTTTATTCCATATGTCCAAGCGTCAACAATTACATATTCTTGTTTGTCAGTTATTGTAACCCCTTACAACCTCCCTTCAGAGATGTGCATGACAAAACCATACATATTTTTGACTTGCCTAATTTCAGGATCACCAAGTCCAAAATCCAGAATCGATATGTATTTACAACCTTTAATTGATGATTAGAAGAGGTTGTGGATTGAATAATGGACTTACGATATATCTCGCAAACAAAAATTTACTTTGCGAGCTGCCTTGATATAGACTATTAATGACTTTCCCGCGTATGGAACTTTATCTGGTTGGGGTATGCATGGCAAAATGGGGATGTCCGCATTACATGGAATTTACAAAGGCTTTTACGTTGCAATTCGGGAAAAAAGTTTGTGGTTTGACTGTCACCGCAGATTCCTACAACAAAACCATGTCTTTAGATGAAACAAGACTGATTTCAAAAAAGATGAACAAGTAAAAGATCTGCCTCCCACTCGATTGTCACCAGATGAAATATGGAACCGAGTTTGTGAACTGCCAAAATTCACAAATTATGGTGAGGCATGCAAAATTCACAGATTAACACAGTGATGGATATTAAAGGCAAAATAAAAGATAATGAGAAGAGCATGCTGGTGGTTGAAGGACGACATGTTATTAAGCCCGATGGATCAGGGTAAGTTTTTAATTTAGAATATTTATTTAACTATATATTGCCATTTTTATACTTAATTAATACTTATTCTAATTATTGTTGTTTAGGTTTGATATGTGTTGGCCTACTGCAAAAGCTATAAATCGGGTCATTCAACTAATGTATAAAAAATCATTGAATTCTTTTGGAGAGCTGACAGAAGATGAGAAAGATGAATGGTTTGATAAATTTAAGGTACATTGTATTTTATTTAAGTTATATTATTTTATAATTATATATCATTTTATTTGAATGTCATACAATATTGCAAGAAAGGTGTATGTTGAACATCATGGATGAGTATAAAATTAGAAGTAAGACATTTGGACGACTATCTGACATGCTTAGGTGTGCTAGATTACGTTGGGAGGAGCAACAAATTCGTCCTAACTTGATAGGCCAGGAAGTATTTGAGGAACTTATTGTGTATTGGAAGACATAAGGTTTTAAGAAAAAATGTGAACATGCAAAGAAAATAAGAGCATCTGAATTAGGGACTGCCTTAATAAAGTAGGAAGTATCAGTATCGGCGAACATGTTCGACGAATGCTACTTATAACTATTTTCTTAATGTTGTTTTTTGATAATTTATTTGCTATATATATTTATTTATTTAATTCAACTCAATAATTTTAATTAGAAAAAGGATTTGGGGAAACACCCACAGATTAGTGAGTTGTTCGTGAAGACCCGAACCAAAAAATCAGAGGACTTTGTTGACGCCCGTTCCAAATCAACTTTGGTAACTTGTTTATATTTCATTATTTTATTTAATTATTTAATATAAATAAATTTATTAAACTATATTTAATTTAATTTTTTATGTATTTGAAGGAGGTGTATCAGAAACTACTCGCCCAATTTCTAATTGATAATCCTCATTATACTATGATCGGGAATGATCAGCTTGATCCACGTGTGGACCTTTGGCTGCTGACTACAGAAAAGAGGATAGAAATTTATATCAAAGACTTGAAGATGGGAAAGGAACATCTCGTCCACCAGAATTGACACCCGAAATGATGGAGACAGTGAAACAACTGGCTCTAACTAAGGCGAGACGCGAGAGGGCGGCACGCGAGAAGGAGGTACGTGAGGCAGCGTTAAAGGCCGAAATTGAGGAAATGAAGAAGAGGCAATCTGAGATGGAGGAGCAAATGCAACAATTTTTTGCCTCACAATCGAACCATCCTATTCAGGAAGATGAAGACGAAGAAGATATATTTAGTAGGGATGATGAATAACTTTT